TTTAATTAAATTAAATTTTTTATTAAGGCATAACACTGATTGTTAGACAGTAGTTTAATAGTAAAGTATGTAAAAAATCAAAACTGCAGCTTTTCTTAAAGTATGCTAGATTTCTATGCTTAAATTTTGTTATGGTTTTTCTTTTGGCTGCATAATTTGACCAACAATAAAAATCATACGAAAATAAAAAACAGTTTATAAACAAAAAATCTTGCAAAAAATTCTAGAATCTTGATTTAACGAGCTTGTAATATAAGCATGTCTCTCAATTGTTTTTAACTTTGAAATAACTATACCTATCACTTTATGAAACTTGCACAGAGCTATATTACTTTATACAATAAAATTGCTGAGAAAATCATCACATTTTGATTAAAAACTCTCAATTTTTTTATTAAGAAAATCTTATTAAAAACACAATTTTGAAAAATAAATTAGTGAAAAAATTTTTTCAACCACACTACATTTCATAGTTTAATAATTTTCATTCTTGTAAACTGAATACCTAGACGGTTACCCTATCTTTCTTTTTTTTTTTTTACTATATTAAAAAAACATTTTATCATAATTCTTAATCAAAAAAGGATAAAATTTTTGAAACAATTCAAAAGTATAAGTTGAAGTAAATATACATCCAAAAATTCCTACATTTTAAATTTCTGCTATACCTATTTATTTTTAATTAGTTAACTACAAAATATTCAGTGTGGTATCGGTCCTCATTAAACTGTTCTACCGTAAAGTGCTCGACTTCACGAGTAGGCTGTTGGGCTACCAAAGCAAGGGAGCCATCCCTTATGCAGAGGATCAAAATTGTGATGGCGTGTTTCGGATCATCCTCAGGGATGTTCCCCAGACCGTCGTTAATAGGCCATTGTACAGCTCTAGTGCGACATACATAAAGTACCTACCCAGGGTTGCCACTCAAATCTGGAAAAAAATTCCCTGTGTTTTCCCTATGCATATTATACACAATATATTAAGAGGAAACACACAATCACTGTGCTCTTGTATAAGCTATATTGGGCTAACTATACTAGTTATAATTGCCGAAAAAAACTTAAAGAAAAAAGGAACAGCTGAACATACTTAAAACAAATAATGCTATAGTGAATGAACTAATTTAAAATAGCTGAAATATCAGCCTCAAATATTCCATAGATTGCCCTTTGAGTGGTTACCATTTTTTAAAAGACGGAGACAAAAAAATCCCTATATTTTCCCAGTTTCTAAAGAAAAACTCAAAATTCCCTGCATTTTCAGGTGATTTTTAAATTCCCTGTATTTTCCAGGTTTTCCTGTGGAGTGGCAACCCTGCCACCTACGTATATTAAAAAGAACATTCTCATAATTTATTTTCATTCTTCATAATTCTTATGAAGATTGGTCGTAATCAGAAAGATAAAATTTTTGAAGCAATTCAAAAGTATAAGTTGAACTAAATAATGGACATCCGATAATTCCCACAGTCTGCTACACCTAATTATATTTAATTTGTTTATTACAAATTATTCAAAACATTTAAACTGAGCATCATTCATTTTCGAAGAAGAAATATGTACTGATTTTTTTGTTCATTATACATACGATACATATATAATTAATGAATATATGCAAAGAAATGATGTATATTTAAAGCAGAGTGTTTGTCTTTTGCAAACAAATTCTGAATGGTATCTTCCAACATTTCTTCGATGCAGTGCCTATAAGATTTGAATATAATTTAAAACTTAAGAATACTTATATATATTCATATATAAACGCAATGCTTATGGTATAAACAAATTTGCAACTCAAAAGTTTTCACTTTATGCAAACTGTAAAATGTTGTTCTGTTAACTAAAGTCTGTTGTGGTCAGTTTATTATAATTTATATGAGAGAAAATTTGTAAGATAGTTTTATGATATGTATAAATTATAATAGCCAGGACAAATGGAATGCATTTAGATTAGATATCTCATTTAACTCGAAACATTCAGAAAAATTTAGGAAGTAGATTAAAAATTTACCTAAATGTTTCTCAATTTTTTACAGTCTAGTTTATAAGCTTATGTTATAGTTGAGAAAATAAATAAATACATTTAAAGGTTTCCGGGATGTTAAGAAAAAGAATGAGAAATAAAATGAAACAGTTTTTATAAATCCTTAATATGGCTGATTCTTGATTATTTGGGGTTTGAGGTAAAGGTAACTAAATGTAATTTTTTACAAAATAGTTCAAAATTTTTTTTAAAAAAATTATTTTAATAAAATGCAGAGTGATATTCTTTTAAAAATCTTCAGGATAAAAAATAAAATTGCAAAACAAGAAACTTTTCTACTAAGAAATAATAGCAATATTGTAATTCTTAATAATGGTTACAGCTTCAAATACAATGAAGCTAAATTCTAAATAATTAACATAAATAATTTAAAAATTCAATTTTCATACATTATCTTAAAAACTATTTCTTGAAATATAATTTTAAATTTTCTCCTTCCTTATTTCTAACAATTGTGAATTTATATTTTCTAATATATAAAAACCTAACATTTCTATGTAAATTAAATTAATTTATATGGCAGAAAAATATAATTTAATGAACAAATAGTCAGGTAATAAAAATGTTCTGTGTATTTGTCAAGTGATTACTGTAATGCCGTAAAAAAAAGCGTAATATATTAATTTTATATGCAATCATACTTTTATTACATTTTAGTTTCATTCATTGAAAATTAATTAATGCATCTTATTCCATTGGTTAATGAAATAAGTATACAAGTCACTAGGTAACCTTTGAATATAATTGCGGTAACTATCGCAAATCTTGACCGCAGATTAAAACTAAAAGATATTGCTTTCTTTATTCTTATAAAATATAGTTACGAAGAGTGTAAAATTTTTAATTTTTATTGCATAGAATATTTAAATCTTAGTAAACAATTTACTTCTGATGCGACAAATTTATTGAAATTTCTTTTTAAAAAATATTTCTTAAATTGAACTTTAAAATTGTCATCAATTTATAAATGATGCAATAGCAACAAGTTGGTTCATAGGAATTCATGAACAATTTTTTTATTATTTTTACATATAATGTTACTTAAGATAATCCTCAATTTACAACCCCTGATAATCGGGAATCAGCTATTTTCTTTACCGATCGCTTTGCTTAGCACTTTATCATTTGCTGTTTATATGTGTCTTTATCAAAATATACATCTATATACATATATATATATCTATATTACTAAAATACAAAGTATCACAAGTTTTTGTTTCAAAAATGTATCTTGTTGCACAATGCATTTACTGTATAAAACAAAAAAGAAAAAAAAAGAAACAGTGTACTTGTTAAAATTCAAACTTTATGAACTTGCATTATACACAAGATTATATTAAACTAATTTGCAATAAAGACTTGCGTCATTATTTCATTTACCAAAACACGAAGACAAAAAGTATTGATAATATAAATTGACAAAAGCAAAAATAAATGTGCATTAGTTTTAAGTTTGAATGCTAATTCATGCTTATATTGTGAACAACAAAACTGACACTTTTCAAATTCAACCCAAATCCTTTAATCTCACCTTGTCATATTAAAGGAATGTCTCGCATCAATTATTTTACTCACAAATTCTTAGTCAAAACTTCAATTTCTTGAAGTCGTCGAAAGTTCAAATTCAGAATGAGAAAATAATTACTTGTATTTAAATTAAAAAGCAAAATTGAACAAATAATAAAAATGAAGAAAATAAAGAGTACATTTATATTTTATTCTTAAATAAACAAATAGAAAAAGAGGAGCCAATTATCACAATTTATCCAGAATATGATTTCATAATAGAGATGAAAATCTTACTGTTGAGTATTAAAAATCACAGCTTTTGAGAATTTCTGTAATAATCTCTTTAAAATAAGTTTTTTTTCTCCCTTAACCATCAAGAGTTATGAAATTTTGTTGTGCGATAGTAGTATATATAATGATAATGGTGTATTTAAATAGCAAAATTGAACAATTATTAAAAAATGAAGAAAATGGAGTATATAATGCTTTACTTTTAAACAAAACAATTAGCAGAAAAATAGATGCCAATTATCAAAATTTATCCAGAATAAGATTTCTTAATCAAGATGAAGACTAACCGTTGAGTATTAAAAATAACAGCTTATTAAAATTTCTGTAATAATCTGTTTAAAATAAATCCCCCCCCCCCTAAACCATCAAGAGTTATGAAATTTTGTTGTTTGCAACTAACCTACTATAACTTTTTTTACTCCTTAAGCAATTTTAAAATAAATAATAAAATATGATTTGGTTGAAAAAAGCAACAAAACTCTAGTTTTTACCCGTTCCCAGAAGCTATATTTAATCTTCTCACTTTATAGAAAAGCAAAATAACATTGACTCAATCATGAAATGCAGTGAGTCAAAGATTTTAGGGTTTCAAATGCAGGATGATAAAAAGGCAATTGGGGTTAGTTTCAATTTAAACAAAAATTAGAACATTTATTTGGCATAACCAATTCAATTTTATCATTTTAATTGTTGTATAAATTACAATTTAGTACTTTTATCAAAATGTTAGTTTTATTTCTTTAACAGTAAATTCGTGTATAATTTTATTATAAAATTAATTAGTATATACACCTGAAGAGTGAATTTCATAAATACTAGCTGTATACCTTTTTGGGGTATTCCACATCTGATTTCTGATGTAAACAGGCAATTTTTTTTAGAAAAACAAATCAGAAATTTGAAACCAAACTGCATAAAAATGATTTGCTATAAAACTGCAAGGTGTTAAGAATCATACATTTTCAAAACTTTTGAGATTTTAAAAAATTAATTTATGAAAATCCAGAAATTACTGAATCATGCCTTACTTCGGTTTTTTAAAAACCGTTTTAAATACAATATTTTAATAGTTTCTCCCAAAACGATAGGAAATCCAACTTTTTTACAAATTTAGTAAGAACATCTGACTGAAACAAACATTTAAAAAAACAGTCACATTCATATAAATAATTTTAATAAAAACAAAAAAAATATCGATATCACAGAGTGATTCAAACATACAAAAAAAAGGTCCTAATCAATTTTACAAATGATCTAATAAAATAAGTATTACAGTTCTGTATGAATATGTCCAGTTGCTCCGACAGAAAAGTCTGTGGGTTTAATAAATACCCCTTCTGCAGTTTTCCAGAAACAATTACTGTCGGAATAAGGAAGAGCACAAACTTCTCTTTGGCCTGCAATGGGTCGACCATAAGTATTACCAGATACGGCCATCCACCTGGAATAAAGAAAAACATATTCATTCTCAGATTTATAGACATGCAGAAGGTTCTTTAGAAATAATAACTGATGACAGTGTTCTAAGCGTTTTTAGAAAGGTAGCCAGCCCTGCCTTTTTTATGTTCTCTCTTTGTCCCTTAAGTAAAAATAAGCTGCCATTTTTTAAAAACACTTCAATTTTTATTTATATTTGATTTTTTTAAAAATTTATTCACTATTTAAATAATAATTACACACTGGTAAAATTAACTGTGTTTATGGGTTTAATTCTGATTCACTATTACAAATATTTATTTTGTAAGGATCATTCTCTGATTAAATTTTTTAAGTGATTTTAAAATTATTTTTTAAATAAATAACTTTTGGTTTTAAGAAAAAGCACATTCAAATATTAAATTTCTCATAATTATCAGTTTAAATTACAAAAAAAAAAAGCTTTCAAGCTGTTTAACAATTTTATATANTATATATATATATAGTTTACTTTTTCTTAAAACAATTTGTGCACAGTAATTGTCTTTTAGCCTGCTCTTAATTATTTTTATAAATGACAATTTTTTTTCTTCTTATTTTGATTATGAGAGAGAATTATTTTCTGAGATATACACATAAAATAGTATAAGAGGGTAATTTAAAAATTGTTGACCAAATTCTGATATTACATAATGGTACACATTTTGATACATTTTTACTGTGTTAAGTGAGTGCCCTTTCAAAACTCAAAGTGCCCTTTTCAGAGAGGCAGCAACCTGCATGTTTTTATTCCTAAGGAGAACACTGAATATGTTCTGCTTAAATACAGCTTCAAATTTATTACTACATAACTGAACTATCTAAAATACTAATAAAAATATGAAGAAAAAAAACACAAAAAATATTTTTGCTGCTGTGTTTTGTACAGTAAGTTACTGATTTATTTGTCTGATTATAAGTCTTTCTCAGAGAAGCAAATTGTAATAATTTAATTTTATAAGATTTGTTTCTAGCAATGGCACAGTGTTAACAGTAAAAATTAATGTCAAATGAATTTTTACGAATAAATTAGAGGGATTCTTTATTTGAAAAGTAAATATTAAAGCATATGATTTTAATATTTCAATCATGTTAATCTGACAATATTTCAGAAACAGTAATAAATTTTGTTTTCTAACTAAAAAATATTTAAAAGTTAACTTTTACGGTAAAAGAAAATTCGTAATTCTTTTTTTTTTTTTTTTTATATTTGTCATAGATAATTTTTTTACTTTTTAATCTTCTATGTTCAGTGCAATTTAGACTAAATAAATTTATTTAATTTATATTATAGCATGACTTCCAACATTGGAGAAATAAAATAACAGTGATTTTACTACCGACATTTTTTATGCTATGAAAAAAGTTTTGATGCATCATGCATAATCATATAAGTCAAAAAGAAACATTTAAAATTTGACCTAAAAACATTTAAAATAGTCATAAAATACAGGAGTCTTGGTTAAAAAAACAGGAAACTTGGCAGGGATGTTATAGTTATTACATGAAAAATTTAGTTATGTATGTGTAATTCATATTAGTATTTCTGACTAGAATCTAAATACAATCTGATTTTTTATGATTACAGACATATGTTAACGCTAGCCTTTAAGACAGGGCTTTCTAGTTTTCGTGGCCAGCTACCCAAACATGGTTGTGCATCCCTGTTTTAGATCTCATTTCAAAATTGGCTTTAAGAAGATTAAAAGTTATAAACTTTTCAAAATACAAAATAAATTTGTATAGCATACAATATTAACTGCAACTATTTAGGATTTAACATCCAGATCTAAAATGTCTATTTTCATAGGAAATTAATACAAAAACAATTTTTAAAAAGTATATGAAAAATCATCGTTAAGAAACTTACATGTCTGTGTCTGCATGCTTAAATCGTACATTTCCGTTTCTTTCCCAAAAATCAGAACTACAGGTGACTACCCAATGATCTCCTAGAGCAGTAAGAATTTACATTAACAAACAAAATAAATAAAAATGCACGCAATAAATAAAAACGGAAACAGATTTACTAAAAACTTTTTTTGAAAACAAAAAGACAGAAGTTATTTTAATAGTTAAGTTATAAGCAATTATTAAACTTACAGAAAGAGAGAAAAAATTTTAATTTGTGAAAAATACTGCAGTGTGTCACTACAAAAATATAATTCCAATTCACCAGTATATAAGACATGTTAACTCAATTCAATGGTAGGGTTGGGGTGCCTTTTCATAGCTGAAGGTTGACATTGTTGGGGATGAGAGTAGTCAGAAAGTAAAAAAGAGGAAATCCAAGAATATATATATATATATATATATATATATATA